GTGTCCCCATTGTCACTCACTTCTCCTCGGTGTCCCCCCTGTCCCCAATGTCCCCATTGTCACTCACTTCTCCTCGGTGGCCCCCCAATGTCCCCAGTGTCACTCACTTCTCCCCAGTGTCCCCAACCTGTCCCCACTGTCACTCACTTCTCCTCGGTGTCCCCAGTGTCCCCAGTGTCCCCATTGTCACTCACTTCTCCTCGGTGTCCCCCCCCTGTCCCCATTGTCACTCACTTCTCCTCGGTGGCCCCGCGCCTCTCGACCCTCAGGGCGGCCTCCAGGTTTGTCACCTGCAGCCTCAGCTGGTCCAGCTGCAGTTGGTGGCCCTGGGCCACCTCCTCCAGGTGCTGGCACCGCTCGGCGTCACCGCGGGCCCTGCGGGGACACACAGTGTCACTGTCACCCACTGCCACCCTGGGACACCCAGTGCCACCCAGTGTCACCAACTGCCACCCACTGCCACCAACTGCCACCCACTGCCACCCAGTGTCACCAACTGCCACCCAGTGTCACCCACTGCCACCCTGGGACACCCACTGCCACCAACTGCCACCCACTGCCACCAACTGCCACCCAGTGTCACCAACTGCCACCCTGGGACACCCACTGCCACCAACTGCCACCCTGGGACACCCACTGCCACCCACTGCCACCCACTGCCACCAACTGCCACCCAGTGTCACCCACTGCCACCCTGGGACACCCACTGCCACCCACTGCCACCCACTGCCACCAACTGCCACCCACTGCCACCCAGTGTCACCAACTGCCACCCTGGGACACCCACTGCCACCAACTGCCACCAACTGCCACCCAGTGCCACCCTGGGCCACCCAGTGTCACCTCCTCTGGGTGGTGGCACCGCAGTGTCACCTGCAGTGTCCCCCCACTGTCACAGAGTGCCATGCCCAAGGTGTCCCCAGGTGTGTCCCCAATCCCCCCGGTGTCCCCAATCCTCCCAGGGGTGTCCCCAGCCCCCCCAGGTGTCCCCACCCCCCCCAGGGGTGTCCCCAGGGTGTCACCTGCGCTCCAGGTGCTCATTCTCGGTCCGCCTCCTCTCCAGGCCCCTCTGGCTCTGGGCTGTCCCCAGGTGTCCCCAGGTGTCCCCACTCCCAGGGGTGTCCCCAGGTGTCCCCAGGTGTCCCCAGGGGTGTCCCCAGGGTGTCACCTGCGCTCCAGGTGCTCGTTCTCGGCCCGGCTCCTCTCCAGGCCCCTCTGGCTCTGGGCTGTCCCCAGCCCCCAGGTGTCCTCAGGTGTCCCCCTAGCCCCCCAGGTGTCCCCAGCCCCCAGGGTGTCCCCAGCCCCCCAGGTGTCCCCAGCCCCCCAGGTGTCCCCAGGGTGTCCCCAGGGTGTCACCTGCGCTCCAGGTGCTCGTCTCGGCCCGGCTCCTCCAGGCCCCTCTGGCTCTGGGCTGTCCCCAGGTGTCCCCAGGTGTCCCCACCCCCCCAGCGGTGTCCCCAGGTGTCCCCAGCCCCCCCAGGGGTGTCCCCAGGGGTGTCCCCAGGGTGTCACCTGCACTCCAGGTGCTCGCTCTCGGCCCGGCTCCTCTCCAGGCCCCTCTGGCTCTGGGCTGTCCCCAGGTGTCCCCAATCCCCCCAGGTGTCCCCAGCCCCCCAGGTGTCCCCAGGTGTCCCCAGCCCCCAGGGGTGTCCCCAGGGTGTCACCTGCGCTCCAGGTGCTCGTTCTCGGCCCGGCTCCTCTCCAGGCCCCTCTGGCTCTCGCGCAGCTCCCCCAGCAGGGACGTCACCTGAGCCTGCACCTGCGCCTTGTCCTGCTGGGGACACGGGGACAGGGGACAATGGCACCCCTGGCACCCTCTGCCACCCCTGCCAGCCCCGCCTTGTCCTGCTGGGGACACGGGGACAGGGGACAATGGCACCCCTGGCACCCCCTGCCACCCCCTGACAGCCCTGTCTGTCACCACTGCCACCCCTGACAGCCCTGTCACCACTGCCTTGTCCTGCTGGGGACACGGGGACAGGGGACAATGGCACCCCCTGGCACCCCCTGACAGCCCTGGCACCCCTGCCAGCCCTGCCACCACTGCCACCCCCGTCACCTGAGCCTGCACCTGCGCCTTGTCCTGCTGGGGACACGGGGACAGGGGACAATGGCACCCCTGCCACCCCCTGACAGCCCTGTCACCACTGCCTTGTCCTGCTGGGGACACTGGGACAGGGGACAATGGCACCCCTGCCACCCCCTGACAGCCCTGCTGGGGACACAGGGACAGGGGACAATGGCACCCCTGCCACCCCCTGCCAGCCCTGCCTTGTCCTGCTGGGGACACAGGGACAGGGGACAATGGCACCCCTGGCACCACTGCCAGCCCTGCCAGCCCTGCCTTGTCCTGCTGGGGACACGGGGACAGGGGACAATGGCACCCCTGGCACCCCTGCCTTGTCCTGCTGGGGACACGGGGACAGGGGACAATGGCACCCCCTGCCACCCCCTGCCACCCCTGCCTTGTCCTGCTGGGGACAGGGAACAATGGCACCCCTGGCACCCCTGCCACCCCTGCCTTGTCCTGCTGGGGACAGGGGACAATGGCACCCCTGGCACCCCTGCCAGCCCTGCCTTGTCCTGCTGGGGACAGGGGGACAGGGGACAATGGCACCCCTGGCACCCCCTGACAGAACCTGACAGCCCTGGCACCACTGCCACCCCTGCCTTGTTCTACTGGGGACACGGGGACAGGGGACAATGGCACCCCCTGCCACCCCCTGCCAGCCCTGCCAGTCCTGCTGGGGACACGGGGACAGGGGACAATGGCACCCCTGCCACCCCCTGACACCCCTGCTGGGGACACAGGGACAGGGGACAATAGCACCCCTGCCACCCCTGCCACCCCTGCTGGGGACACGGGGACAGGGGACAATGGCACCCCTGACACCCCTGCCAGTCCTGCTGGGGACACGGGGACAGGGGACAATGGTACCCCTGCCACCCCTGCCACCCCCTGACAGAACCTGCCAGCCCTGCCTTGCCCTGCTGGGGACAGGGGGACAGGGGACAATGGCACCCCCTGACAGAACCTGGCACCCCCTGACAGCCCTGCTGGGGACACGGGGACAGGGGACAATGGCACCCCTGCCACCCCTGACAGTCCTGCCAGCCCTGCCTTGTCCTGCTGGGGACAGGGGACAGGGGACAATGGGACAATGGCACCCCTGACAGCCCTGCCTTGTCCTACTGGGGACATGGGGACAATGACACCCCTGCCACCCCTGCCAACCCTGCCTTGTCCTGCTGGGGACACGGGGACAGGGGACAATGGCACCCCTGCCACCCCCTGCCAGAACCTGACAGCCCTGTCACCACTGCCAACCCTGCCTTGTCCTGCTGGGGACACGGGGACAGGGGACAATGGCACCCCTGCCACCCCCTGGCACCCCTGTCACCACTGCCAGCCCTGCCTTGTCCTGCTGGGGACACGGGGACAGGGGACAATGGCACCTCCTGCCTCCACTGCCACCTCTGCTATCGCTGTCACCACTGTCACCCGTCTGTCACCACTGCCAGCCCTGCAGAGACCAGGGCTACCCTCAGGTGTCCCCAGGTGTGTCCCCAAGTGTCCCCAGGTGTGTTCCAGCTGTCCCCAGCTGTGTCCCCAGCTGTGTCAGGTGTGTCCCCAGCTGTCCCCTAGGTGTGTCCACAGCTGTGTCCCCATCTGTCCCACTCTGTCCCCGTGTCCCCATCTGTCTTCATCTGTCTCATCTGATCCCAGGTGTGTCCCCAGGTGTGCCCCTCTGTCCCCAAAGTGTCCCCAGGTGTCCCCAGCTGTCCCCAGGTGTGTCCCCAGGAGTCCCCCTCTGTCCCCAGGTGTCCCTCTCTGTCCCCAGGTGTCCCCAAAGTGTCCCCAGCTGTCCCCAGGTGTCCCCAGGTGTCCCCAAAGTGTCCCCAGTACCTCGAGTTGCCTCCTCAGTCCCTGCAGTTGCCGCTCGGCCGCGCGGGAAACCTCCTGAGCCCGGAGCTCTGCGGCCACCACCCGGCCACGCAGGGCCACCAGCCTGAGGACAAAGGGGTCAGGGACACCCCCCAGAGCTCTGAGTGTCACCCAGAGTCACCCAGTGCCACCCAGGGTCACCCAGGGGTCACTGACCCCACCCTGAGCCCAGAGCTCTGCAGCCACCACCCGGCCACGCAGGGCCACCAGCCTGAGGACAAACGTGTCACCAAGGTCACCCAGGGTCATCCAGTGTCATCAGGGGTCACCCACTGTCACCCAGGGGTCACCCAGAGTCACCAGGGTCACCCAGTGTCACCCAGGGGTCACTGACCCCACCCTGAGCCCCGAGCTCTGCGGCCACCACCCGGCCACGCAGGGCCACCAACCTGGGGACAAATGTCACCAGAGAGGTCAGGGACAGCCCCCTGAGCTCTGAGTGTCACCCAGTGTCACCCAAGGGTCACTGACCCCACCCTGAGCCTGGAGCTCTGCGGCCACCACCCGGCCACGCAGGGCCACCAGCCTGTCACCAAATGTCACCAGAGGGGTCAGGGACACCCCCCTGAGCTCTGAGTGTCACCCAGTGTCACCCAAGGGTCACTGACCCCACCCTGAGCCCGGAGCTCTGCGGCCACCACCCGGCCACGCAGGGCCACCAGCCTGGGGACAAAGGGGACAGGGACACCCCCCAGAGCTCTGAGTGTCACCAGGGGTCACCCAGTGTCACCAGAGATCACCCAGTGTCACCCAGTGTCACCCAGGGATCACCCAGGGGTCACCCAGTGTCACCCAGGGTCACCCAGTACCACCAGGGATCACCCAGAGTCACCCAGTGTCACCCAGAGTCACCCAGAGTCACCCAGGGTCACCCAGTGACACCCAGTGTCACCCAGTGCCACCCAAGGGTCACCCAGGGGTCACTGACCCCACCCTGAGCCCCGAGCTCTGCGGCCACCACCCGGCCACGCAGGGCCACCAGCCTGGGGACAAACGTGTCACCAAGGGTCACCAAGGTCACCCAGTGACACCCAGTGTCACCCAGTGCCACCCAAGGGTCACCCAGAGTCACCCAGGGGTCACTGACCCCACCCTGAGCCCCGAGCTCTGCGGCCACCACCCGGCCACGCAGGGCCACCAGCCTGGGGACAAACGTGTCACCAAGGGTCACCAGGGTCACCCAGGGTCACCCAGTGTCACCAGAAGGGTCAGGGACACCCCCCCCCAAGCTCTGAGTGTCACCCCACGTCACCCCAACGTCACCCAACGTCACCCCACGTCACCCGAAGGGTGACACCCACCCGGGCACGGAGGGTCACCCAGTGTCACCCAACGTCACCAGAGGGGGTCCCCAAGCTGTCCCCACTGTCCCCAAAGTGTCCCCAGTGTCCCCAAATGCCCCCAAGTGTCCCCAAACTACCCCAAAGTGTCCCCAAGGTGTCCCCAAAGTGCCCCCAGTGTCCCCAAAGTGTCCCCAAACCCCCAAAGTGTCCCCAAACTGCCCCAAAGTGTCCCCAGCTGTCCCCAGACAGTTCATAAAGTGTCCCCAAAGTGTCCCCAAAGTGTCCCCAAATGCTCCAAAGTGTCCCCAGCTGTCCTCCAAATGCCCCCAAGTTTCCCCAAAGTGTCCCCAAAGTCTCCCCAAGTGTCCCCAAAGTGTCTTCAGTGTCCCCAAAGTCTCCCCAAACTGCCCCAAAGTGTCCCCAAAGTGTCCCCAGTGTCTCCCCAAAGCGTCCCCAAGTGTCCCGTGTCCCAAAGTATCCCCAAGTGTCTCCCCAAAGTCTCCCCAAGTGTCCCCAAACTGCCCCAAAGTGTCCCCAAGTGTTCCCAAACTGCTCCAAAGTGTCCCCAGTGTCCCCAAACTGCCCCAAAGTGTCCCCAGTGTCCCCAAGTGTCCCCAAGTGTCCCCAACTCACTCAGCCTCGCTCTCCTCCAGGCGCCGCCGCAGCTGCTCCTCGGAGCTGGGGGGGACAGGGGGGGTCAGGGGGACATTGGGGACACCAGGGGGACATTGGGGACACACCAGGGTGGGGGAGGGGCTCACCTGGGCTCGGGGGCCCAGGGGGACTCCGGGGGCTCCGGGTCGGGGGCGTCCTCGGCCTGAGGGGGGACACCAAGATGGGGGCTGGGGGACAGTGGGGATACTGGGGACATTGGGGACACTGGGGACACTGAGGGGACATTGGGGGACACCAACACAGGGGGCCTGTGGGGACATGGGGACACTGGGGGACATTGGGGGACACCGACATGGGGAGGCCTGTGGGGACAGTGGGGACATTGGGACACTGGGGACACTGTGGGGACATTGGGGGACACCGACATGGGGCCGTGGGGACAGTGGGGACACTGGGGGACATTGGCAAAGGGGACATTGGGGGACACTGACATGGGGAGGCTTGTGGGGACAGTGGGGACAGCATGGGGCTGTGGGGACATTGAGGGATACACTGAGACTTGGGGGACCTGTGGGAATAGGGGACATTGGGGACAGTGGGGAGACATTAGGGAACACCAACACAGGGGCCTGTCGGGACATGGGGACATTGAGGGGACATTATGGGGCACTGATGGGGGTCTGTGGGGACAATGGGGACATTGGGACAGAGGAGACATCAGGGGGACATGGGGACCTGTGGGACAGGGGACGTTGGGGACATGGGGAGACACCGGGGCTATGGGGGTGCTGTGGGGACATGGGGACATTGGGGGACATTGGGGGACACTGAGGGAGAGGGCACGGTGGGGACACTGGGGACATGGGGGCATTAGGGACATTGGGGGCTGTGGGGACATTGGTGATGGGGGACACTGGGGGTCTGTGGGGACATGGGGGACACTGGGGGCTGTGGGGACATGGGGACATGGGGACATTGGGGGGCAGTGGGGACATTGGGGGCTGGGACACTGGTGACGTGGGGACATTGGGGGCTGTGGGGACATGGGGACACTGGGGACATGGGGGCTGGGGACAGGGGGACATTGGGGATGTGGGGACACTGGGGGGCTGTGGGGACATGGGGGACATTGAGGGGACATCAGGGGGGACACAGAGTGGGGAGACACTGTGGGGACATTGGAGGGCACATTGGGGGATGGGGGACATTGGGGGCCCGGGGGACAAGGAGGGGACATTGGGGGATAGGGAGGGGCAGGGGACATGGGGGGACATGGAGGGGACACTGTGGGGACATGGGGGGTGACACAGGTTGACAAGGGGACATGGACAGACATGAGGGGACACTGTGGGGACATGGGGGGTGACACAGAGAACATTAAGGGGGACACAGATTGACAAAGGGACACTGAGGGGACACTGAGGGGACACTGAGGGGACAGGGGGGTCTGCCCGTACCTCCACGCTGCTGTCGGGGGTGTCCCCAGGGGTGTCCCCAGGGGTGTCCCCAGGGCTGTCCCCTCCCGGTGGCAGCTGGCACGTGGTGGCAGCGTCCCCAGGGCTGGCCCTGAGGGTGTCCCTGATGTCCCCAGGGCCATCCTTGATGTCCCCAAGACCGTCCTTGGTGTCCTCGGTGTCCTCCTGGCTGTCCCTGGGGGTGTCCTTGATGTCCCTGGGGGTGTCCTTGATGTCCCTGGGGGTGTCCTTGGTGTCCTCCTGGCTGTCCCCGGGGGTGTCCCCTCGTGCCTGGTCCCTCTCCAGCCTCAGCCTCTCCACCAGGGCTCGGGCCTGTCCCCAATGTCCCCTCAGCAGCTCCCGCTCCGCCCGGCGCAGCTCCTGCAGCCCCCGCAGCTCCTCCAGCCGGGCTCTGAGAGCATCAGTGCAGCGCTGCAGGGCCCCTGGGGACATCATGGGGACATGGGGACAGCGTTAGGGACATTGGGGACAGTGTTAGGGACACCCACGGCCCCCACAGCCCCCCCAGTGCAGCTCCTGCAGCCCCCGCAGCTCCTCCAGCCGCGCCCTGAGAGCATCAGTGCAGCGCTGCAGGGCCCCTGGGGACATCATTGGGGACATGGGGACAGTGTTAGGGACATTGGGGACAGTGCTAGGGACATTGGGGACATCACTGGGGACACCCCCAGCCCTCCCCCAGCCCCCCAGTGCAGCTCCTGCAGCCCCCGCAGCTCCTCCAGCCGGGCTCTGAGAGCATCAGTGCAGCGCTGCAGGGACATGGGGACATGGGGACATGGGGACAGCGTTAGGGACATTGGGGACAGTGTTAGGGACACCCAGAGAGCCCCCAGAGCCCCCCCAGTGCAGCTCCTGCAGCCCCCGCAGCTCCTCCAGCCGTGCCCTCAGAGCATCAGTGCAGCGCTGCAGGGACATGGGGACATGGGGACATTGGGGACATCATTGGGGACATTGGGGACATCACTGGGGACAGCCACAGCCCCCCCAGTGCAGCTCCTGCAGCCCCCGCAGCTCCTCCAGACGGGCTCTGAGAGCATCAGTGCAGCGCTGCAGGGACATGGGGACAGCGTTAGGGACATTGGGGACAGCGTTAGGGACATTGGGGACATCACTGGGGACATTGGGGACAGTGTTAGGGACAGCCACAGCCCCCCAACAGCCCCCCCAGTGCAGCTCCTGCAGCCCCCGCAGCTCCTCCAGACGCGCCCTCAGAGCATCAGTGCAGCGCTGCAGGGCCCCTGGGGACATCATGGGGACATGGGGACATTGGGGACAGCGTTAGGGACATTGGGGACAGTGCTAGGGACAGCCACAGCTCCCACAGCCCCCCCAGTGCAGCTCCTGCAGCCCCTGCAGCTCCTCCAGCCGCGCCCTCAGAGCATCAGTGCAGCGCTGCAGGGCCCCTGGGGACATGGGGACAGTGTTAGGGACATTGGGGACAGCATTGGGGACATTGGGGACAGCGTTAGGGACATTGGGGACAGTGTTAGAGACACCCAGAGAGCCCCCAGAGCCCCCCCAGTGCAGCTCCTGCAGCCCCCGCAGCTCCTCCAGACGGGCTCTCAGAGCATCAGTGCAGCGCTGCAGGGACACTGGGGACATGGGGACATTGGGGACAGTGTTAGGGACATTGGGGACAGCGTTAGAGACACCCACAGAGCTCCCACAGCCCCCCCAGTGCAGCCCCTGCAGCTCCTCCAGCCATGCTCTGAGAGCATCAGTGCAGCGCTGCAGGGACATGGGGACATGGGGACATTGGGGACAGCGTTAGAGACATGGGGACATTGGGGACATCATTGGGGACATTGGGGACATCAGGGGGACATTGGGGACATCATTGGGGACACTGGGGACAGTGTTAGAGGCATGGGGACACTGGGGACAGTGTTAGGGACATTGGGGACAGTGTTAGAGACACCCACAGTCCCCCAACAGCCCCCCCAGTGCAGCTCCTGCAGCCCCCGCAGCTCCTCCAGACGGGCTCTGAGAGCATCAGTGCAGCCCCAGGGGACATGGGGACATGGGGACATTGGGGACATCACTGGGGACATTGGGGACAGCACTGGGGACACCCCCAGCCCCCCCCCAGCCCCCCCAGCTCCTCCAGCCGTGCCCTCAGAGCCCCAGTGCAGCGCTGCAGGGACATGGGGGGGGATATAACCCAGTTTGTCCCAGTATCACCAGTCTGACCCCTCAGCTCGCGGTTCTCCGTGCACAGCCGCACAGTATAACCAGTGTAGCCCAGTATAACCCCCATTCCATCCCAGTTTGTCCCAGTATCACCAGTCTGACCCCTCAGCTCGTGGTTCTCCGTGCACAGCCGCCCAGTATAACCAGTGTAGCCCAGTATAACCCCCAATCCATCCCAGTTTGTCCCAGTATCCCCAGTCTGACCCCTCAGTTCCCGGTTCTCCGCGCGCAGCCGCAGCAGCTCCCAGTATAACCCATTACAGACCCCAATCCATCCCAGTACAGCCCAGTTTGTCCCAGTATCACCAGTCTGACCCCTCAGCTCGCGGTTCTCCGCGCGCAGCCCCCCAGTATAACCAATGTAGCCCAATATAACCCAGTATAGCTCAGTATAACCCAGTATAGCCCAGTATAACCAGTATAGTCCAGTACAATCCTGTATAACTAGTACAGCCCAATACAATCACTATAGCCAAGTATAAGCCAGTATAGCCCAATATAACCAGTACAGCTCAGTATAACCACTATAGCCCAGTACAACCCAGTATAGCCCAGTATAGCCAGTATAACCACTATAGCCCAGTATAAGCCAGTATAGCCCAATATAACCAATATAGCCCAGTATAACCACTATAGCCTAGTATAACCCAGTATAGCCTCATATAGCCACTATAGCTCAGTATAACCACTATAGCCCAGTATAACCCAGTATAGCCCAGTATAACCACTATAGTTCAATATAACCCAATATAGCTCAGTACAACCCAGTATAACCTAGTATAACCCAGTATAGCCTCATATAGCCACTATAGCTCAGTATAACCACTATAGTCCAGTATAACCCAGTATAGCCCAGTATAACCACTATAGTTCAATATAACCCAATATAGCTCAGTACAACCCAGTATAACCTAGTATAACCCAGTATAGCCTCATATAGCCACTATAGCTCAGTATAACCACTATAGCCCAGTATAACCCAGTATAGCCCAGTATAACCACTATAGTTCAATATAACCCAATATAGCTCAGTACAACCCAGTATAACCTAGTATAACCCAGTATAGCCTCATATAGCCACTATAGCTCAGTATAACCACTATAGCCCAGTATAACCCAGTATAGCCCAGTATAACCACTATAGTTCAATATAACCCAATATAGCTCAGTACAACCCAGTATAACCTAGTATAACCCAGTATAGCCTCATATAGCCACTATAGTTCAGTATAACCACTATAGCCCAGTATAACCCAGTATAGCCCAGTATAACCACTATAGTTCAATATAACCCAATATAGCTCAGTACAACCCAGTATAACCTAGTATAACCCAGTATATCCTAATATAACCCACTATAGCCCAGTATAACCAGTATAGCCCAGTATAACCCAGTACATGCCAGTATAACCAGTATAGCCCACTATAACCCAGTATAACCCAGTATAGCCCAGTATAACCCAATATAGCCCAGTATAGCCCAGTAAAAACCAGTATAGCCCAGTATAACCACTATAGCTCAGTATAACCCAGTATAACCCAATATAACCACTATAGCCCAGTATAGCCCAGTATAACCCAGTATAACCCAATAAAACCCAGTACAGCCCAGTATAACCAGTATAACCCAGTACGTGCCAGTATAACCAGTATAGCCCAGTATAACCAGTATAGCCCAGTATAGCCCAGCATAACCCAATATGACCCAGTATAACCAATATAGCCCAGTACATACCAACATAACCAGTATAGCCCAGTATAACCCAGTATAACCCCCAATCCATCCCAGTTTGTCCCAGTCTGACCCCTCAGTTCCCGGTTCTCCGCGCGCAGCCGCAGCAGCTCCCAGTATAACCCAGTATAGCCCAGTATAGAACCCAGTACACCCCAGTACACCCCAGTACATCCCAGTTTGTCCCAGTATCCCCAGTCTGACCCCTCAGTTCCCGGTTCTCCGCGCGCAGCCGCAGCAGCTCCCAGTATAACCCATTATAGACCCAAATCCATCCCAGTACACCCCAGTATATCCCAGTATCCCCAGTCTGACCCCTCAACTCGCGGTTCTCCGCGCGCAGCCGCAGCAGCTCCCAGTATAACCCAGTATAGCCCAGTATAGAACCCAGTACACCCCAGTACACCCCAGTACATCCCAGTATCCCCAGTCTGACCCCTCAATTCCCGGTTCTCCGCGCGCAGCCGCAGCAGCTCCCAGTATAACCCATTACAGACCCCAATCCATCCCAGTTTGTCCCAGTATCCCCAGTCTGACCCCTCAGTTCCCGGTTCTCCGCGCGCAGCCGCAGCAGCTCCCAGTATAACCCATTATAGACCCAAATCCATCCCAGTACATCCCAGTACATCCCAGTATCCCCAGTCTGACCCCTCAATTCCCGGTTCTCCGCGCGCAGCCGCAGCAGCTCCCAGTATAACCCATTACAGACCCCAGTACACCCCAGTACATCCCAGTATCCCCAGTCTGACCCCTCAATTCCCGGTTCTCCGCGCGCAGCCGCAGCAGCGCCTCGGCCGCTCCGGGCTCGGCGTCGTGCCCGGGCTGCACCATTTCCGCGCTCCTCCTCCAGCGCCCGCCGCTCATCGGCGGCTCCCGGGGGCGCCCGGGAGGGTTTTTGGGGTTTTTTGGGTTTTTTTGGGGGGTTTTGGGGGTGTTTTTTTAAGGTAAAATCGGGCGGTTTTGGGGACTCCCCGGACGCGCCGCCACTTCCGGCTTCCGGCGGAAGCGCCGTGACGTCACGCTCCGGGGGCGGCTGCCATGGCAACGGCGCGTTGATTGGTTACACCTCCCCGCTAAGCCCCGCCCGCGGATGACGATGATTGGTTAAGGAGAGGCGCGGCCCGCCCGCTGATTGGCGGGAGGGAGGGACCGCTCGGCGCTGATTGGTCGAGGCGGGCTGAGGGGCGGGGCCTGCCGTGAGGGGAATGGGGACCCGCGCGAGCCTGGAGGGGGAGGGGAGCGCGAGACCCGAAGGTGAGGGGGAGGGGAAATTTGGGGGTTGGGGGTCCTGAGGGGAGGGGCTGGGGGTCTGGGGGTCGGGGTCGGGGGTTGGGAGGGGTTTGGGGGAATTTAAGGCGAAAAAGGCGGAAATGGGGAGGGATGGGGGTCGGGGGTGGGGAGGGGCGCTGAGGGGATGGGGGGTTGGGGAGGGGTTTGAGGGGTCTGGGGGAGCTGGAGGTGGAAATGGGGCAGAATCGGAGGGTCCTGGGGAATTGGGGGCCGGGGGTAGGGGGTTGGGGGTCCTGGGGAGGGGTTGGGGGAGGGTCGAGGTTTTTGGGGGGTCTTTGGGGGTCCTGAGGGAGGGCTTTGGGGGAGGGTCGAGGTTTGGGGGATCCTGGGGAGGGGTTGTGGGGGAGGGTCGAGGTTTGAGGGGTCCTGGGGTTCTTGGGGGAGGGTCGAGGTTTGGGGGTCCTGGGGAGGGTTTGAGGGAAGGGGGAGGGTCGAGGTTTGGGGGTCCTGGGGAGGGTTTCGGGAGGGAGGGTCGAGGTTTTTGGGGGGTCTTTGGGGGTCCTGGGGAAGGGGTTGAGGGAAGGGGTTGGGGGAGACTGAAGGCGAAAATGAGGGAATTTTGGGGGTCTGGGGGAAACGGGGGGTCGGAGGGGTTTGGGGTCCGGGGAGGGAGTTTTGGGGGATTGGGGGATATGAGGGGGTCTGGGGGAAACGGGGGTCGGAGGGGTTTGGGGTCCGGGGGGCCGGGGAGGGAGTTTTTGGGGATTTGGGGGATATGAGGGGGTCGAGGGGGATTGGGGGTCTGGAGAAGGAAATGGGGAAATTTGGGGATGGGGGTTTGGGGTCTGGGGGTGATATGGGGGTCTGGGGGTTATTGAGGGTCGGGGGGTCTGGAGAAGGAAATGGGGCCATTGGGGGAATTGGGGGTTAGGGGTAACTGGGGGTTTGGGATCCTAGAGGGGGCCTGGGGATTTTGGGGAGGGGTTATGGGGAATTAGGGGTCTGGGGGATTAAAGGGGCTGGAGGTGGAAATGGGGAAATTGGGGGTTGGGGGTCCTGGGGGTTATGAGAGGTGAGGGGGTGGGGAGGGGTTTGGGGGATTTGGGTGTGAAAAGGCAGAAATGGGACAGGTTGGGGGTCCTGGGGGGGAAGGGGGTCTGGGGGACCTGAGGGGCAAATGGGGGAGGGGGAGGGAACCAGGAGGGTCTGGGGTGGGTTTAGGGGGCTGGAGGCGGCAACGGGGAGGATTTGGGGGAATGGGGGTCCAGGGTCAGTTGGGGAAGTCCGCCCCAACCCCAAAATCCCTTTCCAACCCCAAAATCCCGCCCCCAACCCTAAAATCCCTCCCCAACCCCAAAATCCCGCCCCCAAGTGCCAAATTCCACCCCCAGGTGCCCAATCCCACTCTTCAACCCCAAAATCCCTCCCCCAACCCCAAAATCCCTCCTTCCCACCCCAAAATCCCTCCCCCAACCCCAAAATCCTGCCCCAAGTGCCAAATCCCTCCCCAACCTGAAAATCCCTCCCCAAGTGCCAAATTCCACCCCCAGGTGCCCAAATCCCGCCCCTGAACCCCTAATATCCTGCCCCCAACCCCAAAATCCCTTCCCCAACCCCAAAATCCTCCCCTAACCCCAAAATCCCGCCCCTCAAGTGCCAGCCCTGCCCTTTAACCCCCAACCCTGCCCCCGAGTGCCCAAAGCCGCTCCCCAACACCCTGATCCAGCCCCCGAGTGTCCAGTCCCGCCCCCAACCCCAAAATCCTCCTGTAACCCCAAAATCCTGCCCCCAACCCTAAAATCACTCCCACTACCCCAAAATCCCTCCCATAACCCCAAAATCCTGCCCTGCAAGCGCCAGCCCTGCCCCCAGGTGCCCAATCCTGCCCCCAACCCCAAAATCCCTCCCCCAACCCGAAAATCCCGCCCCCTAAGTGCCAAATTCCACCCCAGGTGCCCAATCCCGCCCCTGAACCCCTAATATCCCACCCCAACCCCAAAATCCCGTCCCCCAACCCCAAAATCCTCCCTAACCCCAAAATCCCGCCCCTCAAGTGCCAGCCCTGCCCTTTAACACCCAAACCTGCCCCGGGTGCCCAAACCTGTCCCCTGAACCCCAGAAATCCCAGCCACCAAGTGCCAAATTCCACCCCAGCTGCCCAAATCCCGCCCATGAACTCTAAAATCCCTCCCCCAACCCCAAAATCCCGCCCCCAAGTGCCAAATTCCACCCCAGGTGCCCAAATCCCTCCCCCAACCCCAAAACCCCTCCCCAACCCCCAAAATCCCGCCCTCCAACCCCAAAATCCCGCCCCCAAGTGCCCAATGGCGCTCTCCAGCCCCAAAATCCCTCCCCACCCCCAAATCCTGCCCCCAACCCCAAAATCCCGCCCCCAAGTGCCAAATTCCACCCCAGGTGCCCAAATCCTCCCCAACCCCAAAATCCTGCCCCCAAGTGCCAGCCCTGCCCTTTAACACCCCAAACCTGCCCCAGGGTGCCCGAACCTGCTCTCCCAATCCTCCCCGGAGTCTCAAACCCCAAACCGGCTCCCCAGACCCCCGAACCGGCCCCAGACCCCCAAACTGGACCCCAAACCCCCAAACTGGAGCCCAAACCCCCAAGCGGAGCCCAACCCGCAGGGCCGATGGCGGCGGGGCCGGGGAGGCAGCTGAGCCGCTCGCAGGTGTGCGGGATGCTGCGCCAGGAGCTCAGCAGCGACGGCGCCTTCCTGCAGGGGCATCCCATGTCCTCGTCATCCTGGGGGCGCCTGTGAGTCCGGGGGCTTTGGGGGTTTGGGGATTCTCAGGGGCACCACCATGTGCTCGTCATCCTGGGGGCCTCCGTGAGTCCGGGGGCTTTGGGGGTTTGGGGATTCCTGAGGCACCCCATGTCCTCGTCATCCTGGGGGCCTCCGTGAGTCCGGGGGCTTTGGGGGTTTGGGGGCGTTTGAGGGATTCTGCTGAGGGCACCCCCACGTGCTCGTCATCCTGGGGCCTCCGTGAGTCCGGGGGGTTTGGGGGTTTGGGGGTTTGGGTGGGGCTTTGGGGGCTTTGGGGGCTTTGGGTGGGATTTGGGGGATGGGAACAGTGGACACCCCCTGTGCTCATCATCCTGGGGGCCTCCGTGGAGTCCGGGGGGTTTAGGAGGGGTTTGGGGGATTTCTGAGGGTTTGGGGGGCTTTGGGGGTTTGGGGATTCCTGCAGGGCACCACCATGTGCCTGTCATCCTGGGGGCCTCCGTGAGTCCGGGGGCTTTGGGGGGGTTTGGGGGATTCCTGCAGGGGCACCACGTGCCTGTCATCCTGGGGGCCTCCGTGAGTCCGGGGGGTTGTGGAGGATTGTGAGGGTTTGGGGGGTTTAGGGGTTTGGGGGGGTTGGGGGATTCCTGCAGGAGCACTCCCACGTGCTCGTCATCCTGGGGCCTCCGTGAGTCCAGGGGATTTGGGGGTTGGAGGGGTTTGGGTGGGGCTTTGGGGGCTAGGGGGCTTTGGGGATTCCTGCAGAGCACCCCCACGTGCTCGCCATCCTGGGGGCCTCAGTGAGTCCGGGGGGTTTGGGGATTTGAGGGGTTTGGGGGGCTTAGGGGGCTTGGGGGTTGGGGGATTCCTGCAGGGGCACTCCCACGTGCTCGTCATCCTGGGGGCCTCCGTGAGTCGGGGATTTGGGGGCTGGGGGTTTGGGTGGGGCTTTGGGGGGCTTAGGGGGGCTTTGGGGGATTCCTGCAGGGGCACCCCATGTCCTCGTCATCTGGGGGGCCTCAGTGAGTCCGGGGATTTGGGGGTTAGGGGGTTTGGGTGGGGTTTGGGGGCTTTGGGTGGGGTTTGGGGGATTCCTGCAGGGCACCACCATGTCCTTGTCATCCTGGGGGCCTCCGTGAGTCCGGGGGTTTGGGTGGGGTTTGGGGGGTTTGGGGGGGTTTAGGTGGGCTTTGGGTGGGGCTTGGGGGATTCTGCAGGGGCACCACCATGTCCTTGTCATCCTGGGGCCTCCGTGAGTCCGGGGGTTTTGGGGAGGGGTTTGGGGGATTCCTGCAGGGCACACCCATGTGCTCGTCATCCTGGGGGCCTCCGTGAGTCCGGGGGCTTTGGGGAGGGGTTTGGGGGATTTCTGGGGGTTTGGGGGGATGGGAGGGGTTTGGGGGTTTGAGAGATGGCACCCCACGTGCTCGTCATCCTGGGGGCCTCCGTGAGTCCGGGGGTTTGGGGGTTGGGGATTCCTGCAGGGGCACCCCATGTCCTCGTCATCCTGGGGGCCTCCGTGAGTCTGGGGGGTTTGGGGGCTTTGGGTGGGGTTTGGGGGATTCCTGCAGGGGCACCACCATGTCCTCGTCATCCTGGGGGCCTCCGTGAGTCTGGGGGCTTTGGGGGGGATTGGGGGGTTGGGTGGGGTTTGGGGTGATTCGAGGGTTTGGGGGTTTAGGTGGGGTTTGGGGGATGGGAACAGTGGGACACCCCTGTGCTCATCATCCTGGGGACCTCCGTGAGTCCGAGGGCTTTGGGGGGTTTGGGGGTTTAGGGGTTTGGGGGATGGGAACAGTGGGACACCCCACGTGCTGCGTCATCCTGGGGGCCTCTGTGAGTCTGGGGGGGCTTTGGGGGGATTTTAGGGGGTTTGGGGGACTCAGGGCAGTCTGGGGAGCTGGGAGGGTTTGGGGGATTGGAGGGGTTTGGGGGGGCTCGGGCCAGTTGGGGGTTGGGAGGGGCTTGGGGGGACTGGTGCCAATTTGGGGGTTAATAAAGGGACTAAAAGCAGAATTAAAAGGAAAATTGGGGGGCTGAAAAGGGGTTGGGAGGGGTTTTGGGAGGGTTAGGAGGGGTTGGGGGGGTTAGGAGGGGTTTGAGGGAGTTTAGGGGGATGGGAGGGATTTGGGGTCAATAAAGGGGCTAAGAGCAGAATTAAAAGGGAAATTGGGGGTCAAAAGGGGTTAGAAGGGGTTTGAGGGCGTCAGGGGTTTGAGGGATTTCTGGGGATTTGGGGGGTTAGGAGGGGTTTGGGGGATGGGACACCCCTCCGTTCAATCATCCTGGGGTCTCCAGTGAGTCTGGGGGATTTGGGGAGGTTTGGGGGATTGAGAGGCGGTTTGGGGGGATTTGGGGGGTGATAAAGGGACTAAAAGCAGAATTAAAAATGGAAATTGGGGGATTTGGGGGGTTAGGAGGGATTTTAGGGGGATGGGAGGATGGAACCCCCATTCATCATCCTGGGGGTCTCCCGTGAGTCTGGGGGATTGGGGAAATTGGGGGCACTGGAGGGATTTGGGGGGATGGGAGGGATTTGGGAGGGTAATAAAATGATTAAAAGCAGAATTAAAAGGGAAATTGGGGGTCAGAAAGAGGATTGGGGGGGATTTGGGGGTTGGAGGGATTTGGGGGAATAAAGGGGTTAAAAGGGGATTTGGGGGGGATGGGAGGGGATTTGGGGGGGTAATAAAATGATTAAAAGCAGAATTAAAAGAGAAATTGAGGGGTTAGAAAGGGATTTGGGGGATAATTAAAAGGATTAAAAGCAGAATTAAAAGGGGATTTGGGGGATAATTAAAAGGATTAAAAGCAGAATAAAAAGGGGAGTTGGGGGAGGGGAGGTGATTTGGGGGATAATTAAAAGGATTAAAAGCAGAATTAAAAGGGGATTTGGGGGAGGGAGGTGATTTGGGGGATAATTAAAAGGATTAAAAGCAGAATTAAAGGGAAATCAGGGGTTAAAAAGGGATTGGGGGGATTTGGGGGATGGGGGAGAAATAAAGGGGTTAAAAGGGATTTGGGGGGATGGGAGGGATTTGGGAGAAAAAGAAGTCAAAGGGGAGATATTTTGGGTGTTTGGGGGAACTGAGGGGGTTAAAAAGGGGATTTGGGGGGAAATAAAGGGATTAAAAGGGGATTTTAGGGAATAAAGGGGGGAAAGTGGGATTTTAGGAGGAAATGAAGGGGTTAAAGGGGATTTGGGGAAAATAAAAAGGTTAAAAAGGGATATTTGGGTGTTGAAAGGGTTAAAAGGGGGTTTTTTGAGGGGACATAAAGGGCTTTAAATGGGATTTTAGAAAGAAATTAAGGGTTAAAAAGGGATTGGGGGGGCTGGGGCAGTTTGGGGGTAATTTAGGGGTCATTTGGGGTATTTTGGGGGGTTATTTGGAGGTAATTTGGGGTATTTTGGGGGTAATTTGAGGACAGGGAGGAGAATTTGTGGGGAGGGGGCAAAAACAGGGCTGGGGGATTGGGGCAGTTTGGGGGGAAAGGGGGTTTGGGGGGTAATTTGGGGTATTTTGAGGTCATTTGGGGTCGTCAGGGGGTGTGGGGAGGGCAGCCCCCAAGGCCTTTGGGGGTGGGGGAGGAAGGGGAAGAACTGGGGTGCCCGCCTGCCCCTCCCCAGGTGTGTCCCCAACTTCCTCGTCCCCTCCCCCTTGTTACCCAGCACCCCTTAATTAAAGCACCCCGGGGGTGGGGGGAGGCGCCAGCCCCCACCCTGACTCAGCAATTCCAGGGGGTGGGGAGGAGGGGCAGGCACCTCTGCCCTCCCCACCCCACCCTGGCCCCTCCCCACCTGTAATGACCCTCCCCCACCTGTAATGGCCCCTCCACCTGTAATGGTCCCTCCCCACCTGTAATGGCCCCTCCCCGTTTTAGCCCCTCCCCACCTCTGATGGCCCCTCCCCCATCTCTGATGGCCCCTCCCACAGGGTGACCTGGCCAGGAAGAAAATCTACCCCACCATCTGGTAACCTGGGGACATTGGGGACATCTGGGGGGTTGGGGACGATTGGGGACATTTGGGGGCATTGGGGGGTTAGGGGACATTGAGGGGGCATTTGAGGACATTGGGGGGCATTTGGGGACATTGGGGACATCTGGGGGGTTGGGGACATTGGGGGATTGGGGGCATTGGGGGAGTTGGGGACATTGGGGGGGTTGGGGACATTGGGGGCATTTGGGGACTTTGGGGACGTTGGGGACACTGGGGGGGTTGGGGACATCAGGGCCATTCCTGTCCCCAGGGTCACTTTTGTCACCAGGGCCACTCTGGGGTCACCGACGTCACCGGTGTCACCAGGGCTATCAGTGTCCCCAAGGCCACCAGGGTCACCCTGTCCCCAGGGCCACCAGGGTCCCTGATGTCACCAGGGCCACTCTGAGGTCAACAGGGTCACCAGTGTCCCCAAGGCCACCAGTGTCACCCTGTGCCCAGGGTCCCTGAGGTCAACTTTGTCACCAGGACCACTCTGGGGTCACTGATGTCACCAGGGCCATCCTTGTCCCCAAGGCCACCAAGATCACACTGTTCCCAGGGCCACCAGGGTCCCTGATGTCACCAGGGCCACTCTGAGGTCCCCAGGGCCACCAGTGTCCCCAGTGTCCCCAGTGTCCCCAGTGCCACCCCCAGCCCAGGGCCATGCAGGTCACCGATGTCCCCAGGGCCACCAGGGTGTCCCCACCTGGGGGGGGGGTTGGTGACAATGCTGGGGGTGTCCCCGTGTCCTGGGGGGGGTTGGTGGCACAGGTGACACAGGGGTGACCCCCCAGGTGACACAGGGGTGACCCCAAGGATGTCCTTGATTCAGGGGTGTCCCCAGGGGTGGCCCTGGGGGACACAGGTGACACAGGGATGAGCCCAGCTGTGACCCCAGGTGACACAGGGGTGTCCCCAGGGAGGTGTCAGTGACTCAGGTGACTCAGGTGACCCCCCAGGTGACACAGGGGTGACCCCAGGGAGATGTCAGTGACACAGGTGACTCAGGTGACCCCCAGGTGACAGAGGTGTCCTCCCAGGTGGCTGTTCCGGGATGGGCTCCTCCCGGACTCCACTGTCCCTGTCCCTGGGGGATGTGGGGTGACACAGGAGGATATCAGTGACCCCCAGGTGACACAGGATGGTGACCCAGCTGTCCCCCCAGGTGGCTGTTCCGGGACGGGCTCCTCCCGGACTCCACTGTGCCTGTCCCTGGAGGGTGTGGGGTGACACAGGGGGGTGTCAGTGACACAGGTGACCCAGGTGACCCCCAGGTGACCCCCAGGTGACCCCCAGGTGACAGAAGTGTCCCCCCAGGTGGCTGTTCCAGGACGGGCTCCTCCCGGACTCCACTGTCCCTGTCCCTGGGGGGTGTGGGGTGACACAGGGGTGACCCCAGGGAGGTGTCAGTGACTCAGGTGACTCAGGTGACCCCCAGGTGACCCCCAGGTGACAGAGCTGTCCCCCCAGGTGGCTGTTCCGGGATGGGCTCCTCCCGGACTCCACTGTCCCTGTCCCTGGGGGGTGGGTGGTGTCACAGGTGACCCCCAGGTGACCCCCAGGTGACCCCCAGGTGACACAGGATGGTGACCCAGCTGTCCCCCCAGTTGGCTGTTCCAGGACGGGCTCCTCCCGGACTCCACTGTGCCTGTCCCTGGGGGGTGTGGGGTGACACAGGGGGGTATTAGTGACACAGGTGACACAGGTGACCCCCAGGTGACACAGGTGTCCCCCCAGGTGGCTGTTCCGGGACGGGCTCATGCTGGACTCGACTGTCCCTGTCCCTGGGGAGTGTGGGGTGACACAGGTGACACAGGGGGTTATCAGTGACACAGGGGGGTATCAGTGACACAGGTGACCCCAGGAGGGGTGTCACAGGTGACTCAGGTGACCCCCAGGTGACAGAGCTCTCCCCCCAGGTGGCTGTTCCGGGACGGCTTCCTCCCCAGTGCCACTGTCCCTGTCCCTGGGGGGTGTCAGTGACACAGGTGACACAGGGGGGTATCAGTGACCCCCAGGTGACACAGAGGGGTGACCCAGGTGACCCCCAGGTGACACAGATGTCCCCCCCCAGGTGGCTGTTCCGGGACGGGCTCCTCCTGGACTCCACTGTGCCTGTCCCTGGGGGTGTGGGGTGACACAGGGGTGACACAGGGGGGTGTCAGTGACCCCCAGGTGACACAGAGGGGTGACAGAGGTGACCCAGGTGACCCCCAGGTGACCCAGCTGTCCCCCCCCCAGGTGGCTGTTCCAGGATGGGCTCCTCCTGGACTCCACTGCCCCTGTCCCTGGGGGATGTGGGGTGACACAGGGGTGACACAGGGGGGTGTCAGTGACTCAGGTGGCACAGGTGACCCCCCAGGTGACAGAGCTGTCCCCCCAGGTGGCTGTTCCGGGACGGGCTCCTCCCGGACTCCACGCGCGTCGTCGGCTTCGCCCGCTCGGCCCTGACGGTGGAGCTGATCCGGGAACAGACCCTGCCCTACCTCAAGGTGGGACACCTGGGATGAACCTGGGCTGAACCTGGGTTAAACCTGGGCTAAACCTGAGCTAAACCTGGGTTAAACCTGAGCTGAACCTGGGTTAAACCTGGGCTAACCCTCTGACAGTGGAACTGATCCGGGAACAGACCCTGCCCTACCTCAAGGTGGGACACCTGGGATGAACCTGGGCTAAACCTGGGTTAAACCTGAGCTAAACCTGGGCTAAATCTAGGCCTGAGCCTGGGTTAAACCTGAGCTAACCCTGAGTCTAACCTGGGCTAAACCTGTGACGGTGGAGCTGATCCAGGAGCAGACCCTGCCCTACCTCAAGGTGGGACACCTGGAATGAACCTGGGTTAAACCTGGGTTAAACCTGAGCTGAACCTGGGTTAAACCTGAGCTAAACCTGGGTTAAACCAGGGCTAAACCTGGGTTAAACCTGAGCTAAACCTGGGCTAAACCTGGGCTGGATCTGAGCTGAACCTGGGCTGGATCTGGGCCTAAACCTGGGCCTTAACCCGGGCCCATCTGGCCCCAGAATCCTCCTGTCCCCAGGTGCCCCCTCTCACCTGTCCTATCCCACCTGTCCCCTCTCACCTGTCCTGTCCCATCTGTCCCCCCCTCACCTGTCTCACCTGTCCCCTCACCTGTCCCCTCCTGTCCCCTCACCTGTCCCTCTCACCTGTCCCCCCACCTGTCCCTCTCACTGTCCCCTCACCTGTCCCTCTCACCTGTCCTCTCCACCCGTCCTCACCTGTCCCCTCTCACCTGTCCCCTCTCACCTGTCCCAGGTGACCCCCAGGACAAGCCCCACCTGGGCGTGTTCTCGGCCTTGTGGTCCCCCTTATCTGTCCCCTCTCACCTGTCCTGTGCCACTGTCCTCTCTGTCCCCTCTCACCTGTCCTGTGCCACTGTCCTCTCTGTCCCCTCTGTCCCACCTGTGCAGGTGACCCCTGAGGACGAGCCCCGGCTGGCGTCGTTTCTGTCCCTGCAGAGCTTCGTGAGGGGTCAATACAATGACAGGGGCTTCTTCCTGTCCTGTCCCCTCACCTGTCCTGTCCCCTCACCTGTCCTGTCCCCCTCACCTGTCCCCTCTCACCTGTGCAGGTGACCCTGAGAAGCTTGAGCCCCGGCTGGCGTCGTTCCTGTCGCTGCAGAGGCTTTGTGAGGGGTCAATACAATGACAGGGGCCCCTTCCTGTCCTGTCCCCTCACCTGTCCCCTCACCTGTCCTGTTGTTCCTGTCCCCTCTGTCCCCTCACCTGTCCCCTCTGTCTCACCTGTGCAGGTGACCCCCGAGGACGAGCCCCAGCTGGTGTCGTTCCTGTCCCTGCAGAGCTTTGTGAGGGGTCAATACAATGACAGGGGCTCCTTCCTGTCCTGTCCCCTCACCTGTCCTGTCCCCTCACCTGTCCTGTCCTCTCACCTGTCCTGTCCCACCTGTTCTGTCCCCTCCACCTGTCCCACCTGTCCTGTCCCTCACCTGTCCTGTCTGTACCTGTGCAGGTGACCCCGAGGACGAGCCCTGGCTGGCGTCGTTCCTGTCGCTGCAGAGCTTTGTGAGGGGTCAATACAGCGACGAGGGGCTCCTTCCTGTCCTGTCCCCTCACCTGTCCTGTCTCCTTACCTGTCCTGTTGTACCTGTGCAGGTGACCCCCGAGGACGAGCCGCGGCTGGCGTCGTTCCTGTCCCTGCAGAGCTTTGTCCGTGGCCAGTACAACGACGAGGGCTGCGTTCCGGGCGCTCGACTCCCACCTGCGGGCGCTGCCCGGCGGCTCCGGCGCCCACCGGCTCTTCTACCTGGCCCTGCCCCCCAGCGTGTACACCCCGGTGACCCGGCACCTGCGGCACACCTGCATGGGGGATGGGTGAGTGGCACCCTGGGGACATCATTGGGGACATTGGGGACACCATTGGGGACACCCCAGTGACGCGGCACCTGCGGCACACCTGCATGGGGGACGGGTGAGTGACACCATTGGGGACACCATTGGGGACACCCTGTCACCTGGGGACACCCTGTCACCTGGGGACACCCCGGTGACCCAGCACCTGCGGCACACCTGCATGGGGGATGGGTGAGTGACACCATTGGGGACACCATTGGGGACACCCCTGTCACCTGGGGACACCCCTGTCACCTGGGGACACCCCGGTGACCCAGCACCTGCGGCACACCTGCATGGGGGATGGGTGAGTGACACCCTGGGGACATCATTGGGGACATTGGGGACATCATTGGGGACACCATTGAGGACACCCTGGTGACCCAGCACCTGCGGCACACCTGCATGAGGGACGGGTGAGTGACACCCTGGGGACACCATTGGGGACATTGGGGACACCACTGGGGACATTGGGGACACCCCGGTGACGCGGCACCTGCGGCACACCTGCATGGGGGACGGGTGAGTGACACCCTGGGGACACCATTGGGGACACCCCGGTGACGCGGCACCTGCGGCACACCTGCATGGGGGACGGGTGAGTGACACCATTGGGGACACCCCTGTCACCTGGGGACACCATTGGGGACACCCCAGTGACCCGGCACCTGCGGCACACCTGCATGGGGGACGGGTGAGTGACACAGCCCTGTCACACTGGGGACACCACTGGGCACCTTGGGGACACCCCGGTGACGCGGCACCTGCGGCACACCTGCATGGGGGACGGGTGAGTGACACCTTGGGGACATCATTGGGGACATTGGGGACACCATTGGGGACACCCTGTCACCTGGGGACACACCTGTCACCTGGGGGACACCATTGGGGACATTGGGGACACCATTGGGGACACCCCTGTCGACCTGGGGACACCTCATTGGGGACATTGGGGACACTCATTGGGGACACCCCTGTCACCTGGGGAGCACCCCTGTCACCTGGGGACACCTCTCACGTGCACCTGCGCCACACCTGCATGGGGGACGGGTGAGTGACACCCTGGGGACATCATTGGGGACAC